TATGTAAATTGTTTGTTCTCCTTGAACTACCTTAACATTGACAGAATATCCAAAGTGTGATGGTCAGAGGTAATATAATTAGAAATTATGAACTCTCTAGGCCTAGTAGAGGGCATTGTCTCGAGCCGCATATAGCTCTCTCCTACAAACATTGTAGTACCTTGTAGTACCTTGTGATACAATAAGTTTTGGGAGAATGGGAGAGGATCGTACATTTTGATGTAGATTACATACAGTCAATAGCCTATGAGAATTAAGCGAAGTCGAGCAGGTGAAATAAACTTGATATAAGGTGAGACAGGTATTAGACGTGACTGAACAAATCTTTCCTTCCCTATCTTACATTTATGTTCTTTTAATAATTAAAGTAAACTTAGTTATAAATAAGTAAGCCAGAAGTTGAGACAACTAAATAAAGTAACACTGACACCATAATAAGTAGACTGAGCTAAATTGAGACTTAGATCATTACCCCGTCCCAAAGGTTTATGTAAATAATTTCTCTTTGTTAGGTTCTTAGAAGTTACCTAAGCTTTCTCACGAATCACTTTTTATGAGCAAGAAGCTCAGTCTAATTTGAGAATAATATGTTTTTGATTATTTTTGTAACATCCGCTCGGTTACACGCCACACAAAGGACCAATGGAAATCTTTTTCGATTTGTCGCTTGCGAGCCATTATGAATGCTCACGGCAGACACATCCGACAATGAGCACATAAACCACATTTTTCAGTATTCCCCAATATATTTTCCTTTCATCTTTGAAGTAATTACAAATTCGAATGAACCTTAAAGGTAGTTAGAATGAAGCATTTAAGCAAGTCTTTAAAAGATATATTTTATGTACAGTTGGATAGAATAATAAAATTACAATTATTCGTCAATTCTTGCTCTCATGTGCCGTTGAAATCTGTAAAACACAAAACATATACTACAGTATCTCAGGCTCTCGCCCCTCCCGTCTGCCTTTGCCAACCACATCCCAGTCTGGCTTCCCTGTTAATTTATCAAGTACAATGTCTGTTACAACGAGTACCTCAACCCAAAATTCCGATCCATCATTCTTGGCAGATAAAAGTTTGCCATCTGCCCATTGAAAGAAAGGATTGGAATGTAAGTCCACTTTATGTAAGTTTTGTTCACACCAAGGTAAATTTGGGTCAGAAAACCGATTAAAACAAGCCTGATGTGCTGTGTCTTCCGACTATATATATACGAGCACTCAAAAAATAAAGACAGATCGTTTTAGGAATCCGATGGGGCGTCTTCCTTTTTGGATTTTGCCGTTTTTTGTCTCCTATGTCTTTTTTTGTGAGCTGAATCTTTATTATCGTCATTTCCCAAGTCGTCCAGAGAGGTGGTTTCCATGTAGTTCATCAGTGCTGAGAAAGGTATTTTAATCCGCTGAGTTCCATACGGAGACTGCTTGGGAAGCCCCAGGTCTTCAAAAGCCAGTACAAACCAGATTCCTTTCAAGCTTGTGTTTGTTGCCAATGGTGCAAGCTTTGGAGAGTCTGTACAATTCCCTTTCATGATTTTATAATTCAGAATTCCCTTTTTGCAACTCGTTGATGTACAGTGAAAAAAGTGAGAAACAGTTTTCATTTCACAAATTTCTTGGATTTTTGAAAGCTTTTCCCAGAAGTTCTTTAAATCTTCCTTGCTTGTGCAAGGCTCACTTAATTCATCAACATAACAAGCCGATTCCGCCATGTTTTAGTTTTCTTTAAAAAAAAATGTTTAAAGATTTATTTAGATAGAGATATGCGTGATATAAATGTTTACTATTGTCGATTATCTGCAGGTAAGTAAATGTGCACAAATACACAAAACTGCATGGGATGTGCACATGTCCAGTATCAATGTCGTTTGATAAACGAAAACTTCGATTTAGAATTTGTCCAGGGTATAACTACCACAGTTGTGGCTTTTGTTTTTGGGTAAGCTGTGACTTAAAGGGGAAATCGTAACTTTCATTGAGTCTAGAATTTCGTAAAATCGTCTTGAGTGTTCTCACGTAACATCACTCTGTACATAATGATACATTCCCTAAGTTGCAATGGCATCATAAAAAAATATTTGGCGGGCCTGATATTCGATAGTCTGACACCATTTTCTGTTTTTTACACATTTTTTAATAGAGAACAGTGTGTCTTTGCGGTCAGGTTTCTCGAGCAAATCAGTATGACTGTAACCGCTACACTTGAAATTTTCAGATGAGTAGAGATTTCTCTTTCAGTATCACTTCACAAGATATGTTCTAGAGATGTTTATAATGAATTTTCAATATAGATAAATATTACCCCACTCTGGGGATTGAACCCTTTATTTTAACACTTTGTTTGTCCTTTATTGTCGTAATGCAAAGTTTACAATCATAGGGTTTAAGCACTAAAATAGGAACCATGGATCTCAAAATTTTGCTAGAGAGCTTGCTATTAATTGAAATTCTTCAAGATGTATGTAACATAATGTATATTTTCAATGTATGAACAACTCGCCTCACCCTTGGGCTTGAATGCCAATGATATCAGTTTTACAAAAGTGCTCATTTTAAGTAAAAGACTTTTAGAACTGTAGTTTTTTCCTTGTATTTATAAACTCTTGACACAAGGGCCACGAAACTTCATTTTTGTGTCGCCTGCAGAGCAGAGCGGCACTAAAGGATCACTTTACCCGGCGTCTGTCCGTCTGTCACACCCTATAACTCAAGAATTGATATCAGTATGGGTTTGATATTTTGCACATATATTGCTTGGCACAGGGGCTTTTTGTAAATTACCATGGTTACTGACCTCTTGACCTTTGACCTACTTTTTAAAATAACTCAAAGAACTAGCCGATATAAAGCATATTTTTGACATTTAAGAGGTAAGTTTTCGCTTTTTAACATGTGCACTGTTTAGATTATTAGCATTTATACATGTTTATGAGCTCATGATAGTGCACTTTGAAACCGTATGATATTCAGTTACCACACAAACTTAAATTATTTCTAATAATTTCAATTTAATTAATAATTTGAGGGTTATGGAACCATATTTTCTTTGATTGTCAGATTCTATCGCAGTCATACTATCCATGGATGCCATTTTTTCTTTGCAGGCAAATGCATGAACTATCAGTCTTTTACAGCTTTTTATGCTTATAGTAAATAAAAAGCTGACCACTCTTTAGATTTATTTACACCTTTAATGAAGCTACAAAACAGGCGACACATACGTTCCTTGGAACATTCTAGTTTATCAGAGGGTTAAGTGTTTATTATAACCTTGCAAATTGTTTATCTGTTACATATCCTGGAATATAGAAGAATGTTTTGAAAATTGCACATGTATAAATTGTTACTGATTTGGTCCCATCCCTGAGGTCCATGCTGGGACTATAAATTCACAAATTTAGTCCACCTTCATTTATAGATGCTGTATACCGAGACTGTACGTTGAAAATTATACGTCATTTCAGATAAGAAGTAGCTGTAGATCTATAGCTCGCTGGTCTGAAAAATTTGGGACGACCAGCGAGCTATAGTGCCACCCATAGAAAAAAAATATATATTTATTGCGCAAAAAAATTCGCTGTTTCAAGATTCATTTCTCCGTATATCTAAACTGCCATTTCAAAATACTGCTTACCGTGTGTTCCTAATATATTCTATAAACATTTTACATCAAAACATTTCCCATAATCTTAAAATCGAGACCATCCAAACTGCTCCTATTACAACAGACAATTTAGATGGCAAGAAAATTCGGTCCAACGCGCTTTATGCTGATGTCAACTACAAGAGCAGTTGATAGAGGTCTGAGTTTTTTTGAAATCGAGCTTTTATACATTTGGAGAAATTGATACAGAACCGAGCGCAAACTTTTTGTGCGCAATAAATATACACTTTTTTCTTTCTTTAAATAGATGGCACTGTAGCTCTCTGGTCTGTCAATATTTTTTTCGGAGAGCTACAGTTCTGCGGCTAGATAAAATGCTTAAAATCTTAAAAGCTTATGCATATCGCACAAGGCACAACAACAAAACAATAACAAAAGCTACTAGAACAACCCTTACCAAACTGTTATGTTTGCTGCAAACCTGCAGCAAGTCTGCTGCAAGTTTGTAGCAAACAAAATTGTTCGCAGGAAGAAATTTTTCTTGTTCGCAGATGATTGCTGCTAGCTGCGATCTTGCGGCAAACATTGCAGCAATTGCTGTAAGTTTGCAGCAAATTCGCAGGAACTCAACATGTTTGCAGGAACATTGCACGAAACATACACGCCAATCTGTTGTTCGCAGCAAGTTCGCAGGAAACATTTAACAAATTGAATATTTGTAGGAAGTTCGCAAGAACAGTAAACAAGTCAAATCAGCCAATGAAATGCAGATGGCACTGGGATCAACACAGAATTCGCCATTTTGAAATGTTTCAATTGAAGTTGTAGATGTTTCAGTATTTTGTTAGGAGTATAGAATATTTTGAATGATTACAAAAGCATAATTCTGGATGTAGGTGTACATTGGCATACACAACATCTAATTGGTAAGATCTGATTTTATTTTATTTTGATATGAACAATTATCTCTTTAAACATGTTTAAGTAACTGATGTACTTGCTAGGTCAAATCTAAATCTCTTTATGAATTTTAATCTTTATTTTAATATCACATTTGTATGTTTCTTTAAATGTATTAAAGGTTCCAAATCAATTATTATAAATGTTTATATGTTTTCAAATAAATTGGTGTTAATTCCTCGCAATCACAATTAATTTCTGTTTGATCCGCGGGTGGAAAATTATGCAGAGTTTTTGATATTGCCATTGTATGTCTTTACTTACATATGTACGTTGTGACAAATTTCCGCTGGAAATTTGTGACCGTGTTCTTGGCGTTAATTCGTCCACAGTATTTCTCCAATGAATTGAACTTGTGATGTCAATTTTTTTTTAGAAATATGTTTTCACAATACATGTTAAACATATTAAAGATTTATTCAGTACATTGTTTATAGACGCATGCCTATTAAGGTGTGGACTGGTCCTTCAGTACACTTGAGCAGTGGATTGTCTATTCTGCTGTGATAAAAAGATGGACGGAATATTTAGATTGACACTGGTCTGAGTTTGATGACGTCTCCCTCCAAGAATTTGAAGTTCTCTGACAAACGGTTCAATGTTAAAACCTAGAGGTGTATTAAGACCAAGTATTTGATTACATGAAATCGGCTGATTTCTGAAAGAGAATAAAAAAAACTGATTGAGAAATAAGTCATCTCAAATCTATTAATTGATTATTTATAAAAACATTTAGTAAAATGAACCATAATGATAATTAAATATATATGATAGTGGTGTGGTGGGATTGTCCTCAAGCATCTATGCATTTAATCACTACACAGTTGTAACTGTCATGGAATCCTAGTTGTACAGTTTTACTGGCTGTAAGGTGTTTGTTAACGGAACAGGGGTCAACATATATCTTTTTTGGTTCCTGCATAATTCAGAACGGGCTTTTTCACTAAATATTATATCAGAATTATTACCAAACTGTTCATTATCTTACCCTCTAACCGTCTGTCTCTTGAACAGCTGGGGCTGTATTACGGGGGTAGCTCCTTGGACCAGTGTAGAACACATTATCTTTGACATTGTCACCTTCTTTATTTCAATCACTTGTTCTGTAAAAATAAATTCTTTAAAATATAATTTAAAGAATCCCTTCTTCAACACGATATAACAAGTAAAATGAGTACATGTATATTAATTCATATATTCAATATAATTCTGTTAACCTTGAGAGTTTTATACTATATTGTGTGATTCATACTGAATTTCTATTCTCAGTACCATTTAACTTTTACTTGTTCTCTTCACGTTATATAACCTTTTGCGCAAATTTTTTTTTATAGCTAAATTAAACGAACACGTACCTTCCGTGAAGCCAGTACGGGGAAATTTGTTCTCATACCAGAACCTGTCGCCAAATTTAAGTCTGTTGAACTGGAAACCAATGATACACCCGAAAGTTGGCCCTACCAGAGAGCCACCTATGTTTCTCTCAGACATGGCTCCTGTAAATAAGTCAATGTCGTCGGGATGCCTACAAGACAAGTATAATGTTATAAAAGTCCATAAAAATCATGCATATTATCTCAATATGTTTTCCAGTGAATTTCAGTTGTCTTCACTCTGTGCTAGAAAGACATTGATTAATGACTTATGTTTCAAACTGAAACAATAATAATAGGTCATTCTGGGTCTTGTTCTTTAAAATTATTTATGATCATAAGGTGTTAATCTTTTAAATAACCAGCACAGAAGAAAATAATGTTCGTTTCTCTTTCTTTTAAAGATGGATTAATGACTCTTCAACCTGTAGATTGACTGTAAAGTCGCTGCTGATTGTTTATCGTGGTCCACAAGACCGAGGGCCCAGGTGCCAAAGTGCTCGGCTCTGGATCTACCACACCACTGTCTATATACGTTATATCCAGGAAGCCCGTGGTCCCTCCCGCGTTGAATATTTAGAGAGACGAGGTCTAAGCTAAGTGTGGCCCCGGGACTAGTCGTTAATGACCCTGTTGGTTTTGCGTCAAATAAATGGTTCCTGAGATCACTAGTGACAAAACGATCCCTGTCCGCTTTGCCCGTATTGGCCATCCAGGATGCAACAAACTCGCAACCTCCATTTTGAGGAAAATTTATAAGGGTTGGATTGTCAAAGTTGTTTCGGAGAGGGTCTTCTATGATAGATCTGCCATTGTCTTGGCCAACAACACTTTGGACAAAACTGTGGCCAAATCTGTATGCGGCAGCTGCAAAGCTGTTTATGGCACGTGGATCCACAGAAATGTCGTACACTGTATGGTGTCCAGCTCTTGTCGATTTAAGGCCAAAAGTATTTATAATTTCAGGGGGTAAGATATCTGGTAGATATTCATTATACGTTATATGACCGAGTTCTGCAACGACGATTCGTTTTGTCTCTTGAAACAGGACTTCGTCGTCCGTTATTCCAGTGGCACGTTGTAGGGCCTCGGCAATAAGATTATGTCGACGAAGAAACATTATGTGAATGATAGCCAATAAAGGACTCTCTGTGTGTCTGTGGTCCCCTGGTGGATAAAAATAAGGATTGGAGGAAAAAAACTGAAGCAAACATTCAAAATTAAAAATTTAAACGCCATATTCCTGCTTTCATATTGTTTGTTGTTGTGGGTCTTTTCGAAATTATTTGTATTCCTATAATTAAGTCTAGATAACTATTTTATACCAGCATCAAAACAGTGGTTGATTGCATTCCTTGTAAAAATTGCATTGTGTTCGTTCTCGCACTGCGTTTCCTCGCCCTCTGGAAGTACACCAGGACGGTAGGCGTGAAATTTACTGACCCGAAGTAAACCTGGAAAACACAAAATGTTTAACTGAACGTACCTATCTACTCTACCAGTATTACAAATAACAGGTATAAACTAGAAGTACTGTGAGCACTGAAGTCACTAAATGATACCCCCGCCTCCCATATGATTATAATGGCAAAGTCCATGTTTTGCTCTGGGAGACCCGAAATAACTGTCGGATCAAAAAGTAAAATAGGAGGTGCACAATGGCATTATGTAATGATTCTGTGAAAGTTTCATAAAATTTATTCAGTGGTATAGGAGGAGTTGCGGATAAGAGATGGGTATCCCTCAGTAATATAGAAAGTAATATAGAAAGAATGTTTTGCTATGGGAAACCCGAAATATGTGTCCGATCAAAAAGTAAAATAGGAGGTGCACAATGGCACTATGTAGCAAAGATTCTGTGAAAGTCTCATTAAATTTCATTCAGTGGTATAAGAGGAGTTGCGGATAAGAGATGGGTACCCCAAAGCGTAACAGACGGACGTTCAGACAGAAGGACGAACGTAAAGACGGACGGAAGGACATCCCGATCACTATAAACCCTCCCACTTTTCAAGGGGGGGGGGTATAAAAAAAGATTACAGCATTCACAAAGTGTTGGTTTTGGAGTATTGCAAAAAGGGAATTTGTGAAACAAAAGGAAGAATTATGAGATAGTTTGTCCTTTGCAAAACTCTCGGACAAGTGACGAATACACTAGCACAAAAGCGAAGAAATTAATTTTTTTTTTCCAAAATCAAATTCCAACATCATAATTATTTACGGAATAGTTTGTTGAATGATAATCACAATATTTAACCACGCATATGTCATTTTTTTTGCTTCAAGATTACAATTTTTCTCTATAGTCTAACAACTTAATTCAATTTTTGTTTTATATAGTTAAGTCCAAACAATGCTCACCTCCCCTTTTTTCTCTTAGCGAGTTTTCTTTGGCTGTATTGAATCCGTAAATAGCTGAACCATCTATAAATGAAGATCTTTGATTCTGTTGTTGTCTAATCCCTAGAAAAATTAAAAATATGATTTATGTTTTGGTGTGCGATACTCAAAAAAGTTTGCAAACATTCTTTATATTCCAGGTGTGTAGTGTAATTTACCTGTATAACAACCAGGAACTGGACCAATGTCTGAGCGGACAAAGTGCATACATTTCTGAGTTGGATCAGTGAAGTAAGGGTCATCCAAAGCAATTGGAATATTAAAGCATTCCTTTCTGAAAATGAAAGATAAAAATGTTAGATTTGCATTATTTTTTACGAGGAAATGTTCAACATTGCTATATATAAATAGATATTCATACTTGCCTGTTAGGATGAATACAGCAATCCTCAATGATATTATTTTCTGAATCTACGAATGAATAATTCATCATTTAATAAAACTCTTTGTTTGATCTTCCGTTTTTTTTTAATTCAAGGAATCTACAGGAATATAAAGATCTAACCAGTCATAACGGGAGTGCTTGAGATGTCGTGGTCAAGGAACTGTCCGAAGTGTGTGAGGTAGGGGGTGAATCGTGCACTGACCTCCACCTGGTTGTTATTATTATGGACCACGTTACTGACCCTCCGGGCACTGGGGAGGGGGTGTCCGTCTATGCTCTTAGTTCGAGGCATTTCGATGCCTGAAAATGACGTCATCAATACATATGAAATCAGTCTACAAATTTATCAATGAAAGGACGCGGACTTAATTAGATTTAACTTCCAAAATAGGGATATTCACATAATGTGGATTTGTACACGTTTGTACTGAGGTAATCATTTTGTCTTTTTTTTTTTTAAAAGATTGCACATAGTGTTTATTTTAGAGGAAAAATATATCAACCTCACAATTATTTCCAGATTTCATATTTTGATTCTAGTTTTGAATTTAAAATTCAGACTGGCTATACTTTGAGGTTATATACATTTAGATATGACATTTGACATAATACCGTATTCATAGCTGGAAGGAACAATCCGTCGGTACACCATAAATGCCTTGCCTAAAAGTGGATATCTGGGATTATTACAAGCCCCACAGGTGTGTCTGTACGGATAGTCAAAATTACACCTAGGTTCTTCAAAGCAATAAGGTTTAAAAGCCTTATGGAATATATGTAACATCCGGGGACTTTGCAGAAATGGTCGAACCTCCTCTGCTGTTCTCTTTCCTGACCTAGAAGTAAAACACACGTAAACAGGTAATCATAACCGTATGGCTATTATTTATGTGAATGACATACAGTCGTGCCTCGTTAATCCGGACGCTTGCGTTACCGAGGAAATCGTCCACATAAATTAAGCGTCCGAATTACAGAAACATACATGGTATATATGATTATAAATTGTTTCCAACAAATTTCGTCTGGAAGGTGAAACGTCCAGATAATTGGTGTCCGGATTAACAAGGTTCCACTGTACATGATTGTGTTTCATCCAAATCAGAGACAGAATGCCAATGGGCCACAATGCTCACCTGAGTCAACTTCCTTCCTGCTCTTCTTCAGAAGATTTTAAAAATGTTAAAAGATGTCATCCTCTTTATTCTTTTAAAAAAATATAGACCTCATATTGTGGCCCAACCCTTGCCCAAGGGGTTATAACATAATCTTAATCAACACAATCTGGAGATGCTTCAATTTAAATGTGACTTACATAGTCTTCTGTTCCTGTGAAGAAGGTTTTTAAAAGATTTTTGTTCTCTGTATACCTGCATTAGGTAAAATTTGATCCCGAATTTTAGTCCCACCCTAACCCCAGAATCCGTAATTTGAAGAAACAAGATGTGTTTGTGAAACACTGATGCCCCCGTATGGCAACTTATAGCAAAAGTTAAACTTTCTCAAATGCAAATCAAATATATTGGTACCCAAAATAAGGTCTTGTCTCGAGAAATATACCTGTGAAATATGAAAGCCCTAGCAGCAACTATTGAATAGATATGGAAAATGTTAAAGTTTTTCAAAAGTAAGTCAAACATCAAGGTCAAATGGTCAAAATTAATGATGCCCAAGAAAGGCCTTCTCACAAGAAATACACATGTGAAATATGAAAGCTGTAGCACCCATCGTTCAAAAGTTATGGCCAAGATTAAAATTTTTCAAACGTAGTCAAACTCCAAGGTCAAGGTCAATGGATTACAATTATTGGTATTCAAAGGAAGGTTTTGTCACAAGGAATAGACATGTTAAATATGAAAGCCCTAACACCAACCATTCAAAAGTTATGACCAAGGTTAAAGTTTTCCAAATTAAAGTAAGTCAAACGTCAAGGTCAAAGGCAAAGTTGGTGGTATCCAAAAGAAGGTCTTGTCACAGGGATATATATGAAGTATGAAAGCCCTAGCACCAACCGTTCAAAAGTTATGGCCAAGGTCAAAGTTTTTCAAAACTAGGTCAAACGCTCAGGTAAAGGTCAAAAGGTCAAAGTTGTTGATATCCAAAGGAAGATCTTGTCACAAGAATTACACATATGAAGAATAGAAGCCCTATCACCAATTGTTCAAAAGTTATGGCCAAGGTAAAAGTTCAGTAAAATTTTGCAAAACTAGGTCAAACTCCAAGTTCAAGGTCAAAAGGTCAAATATGATGGTTTCCAAAGAAAGGTTTTGCCACAAGGAATACACATGTGAAATATGAAAGCCATAGCTCCAACCAATCAAAAGTTATGGGCAATGTTAGAGTTTTTGCAGACAAACAGACAGACGGACGGACAGGGCAAAAACTATATACCCCCGAATCTTCGATATGGGGGCATAAAAAACTTCGGAATGTTTGCAGATTAATTCGTTTGAGGGTACATGATACTCTTAAAATACATTTTTGATAATAAATTCCTACATATTTCATGCATTAAAGCTATGAATTCCTATAATAATAATAATCTTTGACCACTTTTGTGACGCTAGTCTCAGTGGCCTTAGTTTGAACAAATTTGAATCTACAATCTGTAAAAAAGCATTCAATTAAGTTTGACATTTTTGCTTATTGGTGGCTCTTGAGAAAAAATCTTAATAACCCTAGTAAAAGTTTATACTTTCTCAATTATTTGGCTCCCAATCATTCAAGTCACTCCATTGACCTAATCAATACGGAGGACTTACGGCAGGTATGACCAGTTAACAGGGGATGCTTACCCCTCCTTGTCACCTGATCCCGCCTCTGGTGTTTCCAGTGTCTGTAAATGTGTTTTTGCCCTGTTCACGATCCGTATTAGATTCGGGATTTATGATTGATCACTGTTTATTATCCACCTTTTATATCAAGAATAATTTTTGGCATGATTATTTTATGAAATTGGCCCAGTGGTTCTGGAGAAGACATTTATGTGAAGAAAAGTTTACAGACGGCATTAGACAGACATATAGACTGACGGACAGACACTTTCATTAAATTCAAGCAATATTGATCAGTAAAACTGAACTGAGCCTTTAAGGTGGTATGGGATACCAAACGAAACTTCTCCTACATATTTATGTACCCAAATTAGAAGGATTTGAAATACCCCCAGCTTTCAGTATATTAAAGTGTAATTTTAATAATTTTTTTATTATTTTAATGAGAAATACAAAAACGATTTTTTTTCTTGCATAATTCTTTTTTCATAAGCTTAATATTATAGGCAGGCGTTTGCTAATATAAAGTGTTTATAAAAACAAAAATGACAAGAAATATGTCTTAGTATTTTTTTAATTTTCAACAAAAAATAAGCGTAAAAAACTGGGAAAACTTTATTTCTTGAAAACAGACGGATAACATTTCATGAAAGTCTACAATAAGAATGTATCTTAATATGTTAGCAAAGTGAAATAAACAAATTGAATATATATATATAAATGGAGAATATAAAATGCATTTAAAATTTTTTGAATTAAAAGATCCGAGCGGAAGAGTTATCCTTCTTTATTTTCCAAGGGTTGAAAAAACCTGGGTGCTATTTTAGAAATGATGAGCATTTTTTCCCAACCATAAAAAAATCGCACTTTGTAGTTTTCAACTTTGAGCGGTTTTGAAAACAATGCATGGACAATCGCTTTCCAGGACGTGTCTTGTTCAGAGCAATTGCATTCATCTGAACGTTTTGGGACTATATACAACAGCTAGCTGATTTGTGACCAAACAGTTACTTCTTGGATTAAATAACAAAAAAGTCCAGCTCTGGTTAACGTGATAATTGATTGGTGATAATTCAGCACAATGTGAAGTAATCGCACTTATCCATGCCTCACCGCACACAAGGTGCTGTACAGTTACTCAAACAATTGAAATACAGCTTTTGCTTAAAAGTGTTCAAAAGCAGCAATGTTGAAACTACCTTTTACAGGGGTTTGCTTTTTTAAATGTCCGTTGTACAATTATAAGTAAATTTATATACTTGCGATTTTTTTGTCTGTTTTTACTTAAAATGCCGATGTGAGAACTTGCATTGAAATAGGCTTCAGAGTGTTCTTTTCAACGGTGTATCTACAAATTTTGACCCGATAATAAGCACTCATGCAAATCCAAACAATACTTCAAACGGAAATACGTCATAACGTAGAGGTATCCCATACTACCTTAAACCCCGAACCTGACGTTCTGTGATTGTGTTTCAAGTGACTGAGTTGTAAAAAGATGATTTTGACTAGCAATTAGAACTTCAGATGGAAGAAATAATTAGACTGGATATATTGTAGTGAACCTAAATCTTGAACTTAGGTTTTTCCCAGTACAGTAGAGATAGAAGGAAAATATGAATCACAAAGGAAATAAGGACTTTTAAAGCTCTTTGACCCCCCCCCCCCCGAAGTTTAGCTTGTGTTCACCTTTATTCGGATATCTACATATAATGTGTAAAATACAAAGAAATATTCATAGTTCTCTACGTATTTCTGAGTTTTCGAGTGGAAGGGGACCACTTATAGGATAAAATCAAATAAATTACACATTAATCAATTATTGAAAAGCCAATTTAAATCAACTTGTTAAACCTTGTACGAAACATAAAAGTATCTTGATATATCCATCGATTTAAATATTTATTCACGACTAAACATCAAATTATTTCTTATAAATAATATAATTACGTAGTTTTTCTGTTTTTCAGATGTTGACTGTAGAAAGTTACGAAGTTTTTTCTTCCCCTCCGAAAACTTTTCACTCATTTTGGTTGTCACGAAGTGATGCAAAGTATCCACTCACATCAAACACTGTACTGAAAAGTCTGACTTTAAGGTACTCGTATATATGAATTAAACAAAAGTTATAAAACACATATCCTTGGGTCTCCTCCTGCACGCATCCCTTTTCCAACTTCATCCCAGTCAGGCTCGACTTTTACTTTATCTAGTACAGTATCTCCAACCATGAGTACCTCAACACAAAGTGCACGTTTGCTAGAACCGTCGTTCTTTGAGGATGTAAGCTTATAATCGGTCCATTGGAAAAAAGGGTTGTAATTTAAGTCAACTTTATGCAGATGATCTTCACACCATGACAAATTTGGGTCATTTGAGCGAAGTAAGACTAACCTGACGTATTGCGCTCTTTCATTGTAAGCATGTGCACTCTCAAAAAATAAAACCGGATCCTCATGACTATTTGACTTGATTTCTCTAAATACAGTCTTTTTGCGTTTTCCCTTTTTGGCTTTTGCAGCTTCTCTTTTTGAACGTTGTTTTTCGTAGAAAGATGACTTTGCTGGAGCTGCATCATCCATATCATCATCTACCTCATCGTCGTCATCGTCCAATGACGTGTTTCCCATGTATTCCATTAAATACGACACAGGTATTTTGATTCTTTGGGTACCGTAAGGTGAATTTCTTGGAAGCTCACTGTCTTTCAAAGCCAGCGCAAACCAGTTTCCCCTGAGATTTTTGTTAGATGCTAAAGGTGCCCGTGTCGGTGACTCTGTGTATCCTCCATACAATTTTCTAGACTCCAGAATTCTTTCTTTCCCTGTCAATGAAGTGCAGTGCAGAAAGTGGGAAACTTGTTCCTCATCACTAAAATTTTGATCCACAGCCTCCATAAGCTGGTCCCAAAGCCTGCTCAATTCTTCTTTCGATGTGCATGGTGCATTTAACCCCCCAGCAGATGTCGCCATGTTTGTGAACTTAAAAGCTATTTTTAGCCAGTCAAATATGTACATTTCTAGATCATTACCCGTGACTATCTAGATTATATAACTGTTGCATTTTCTGAAAAGGCTTAAGTGCATATGCACACAACACGTTTAATCTTTATTTATTTATGAAGAATTCGGTTATAAGGAAGATACATATGATACACATTTTCTCGGTCTTACAGCGGTGGAGGTCACTTTTAGTTTTTGGTTCAATTCCAACCTAAAAAACATCAAAGATTGAAAGACTACTTATCGATTGAAAGAATTGATTTTGCATTAATTTTCGCAACCTTCATTTTTGTTGTGCTGGGTCAATTCTTATGAAAAAAAAAATACACCAGCCGAACGAGTTTAATTTTGATACACTCTTAAAAAACAATGGAGGTCATGGACGTGCACCATTCATGTTTGATATGAAGGTCAAATAAACAGTAACTTAATTGTTGATATGCCTTAAAGCAAACGTACCTTACTGAACAAAAGTTTTCCTGAGCCCTTAATTCAAATGAATAACGAATGACGAAGAGAGTGATACATAGTAATGGCAGACTCAAGTAATCTATTGTCTTCTGTTACCGTCCCTCAGTTTCCGCTGTTCGTTAACTTTTGAACAAACTTTTATCAGTACCTTCTACAATGAAGTTCTACGACTCGAGCCATTCATAGTTAGTGCCGATCGTTTGGCAAAGGAACAGTCATTTTTCTATTAGACTGTTCCTCTCTGAAATCCAAAAGTCGAGAGTCGAGTTATGTCCAAGACACGATGTAGTTACGATATCGACAGATTATTTTTTTTTTATAGATTGCTGCAATATTTCTTTATATTTGTGTGTATATTAGAACACTTTCTGTTTTACTAAGTTTTCCTTACTGTCAATATCCATGATATCGAATCATGATTGTTCAATGGATTATGAACACCACCCTTAACTTTGTGTTTTTTAAACATGTAAGTTACTGGAATACTATCACTTTATGAAGTTTCCCTGTAGTGTCGATATCGACGATATCGCTTCGATATCGAATCATGTTTGCCAAACCCTTGGTAAGTACCGTCCTTGCCATTGTGTTTGTGTGTCTATCTTTATATACTTTGCATTAAAAAACTTACTGTCATCGATATCGTCGATAACAACGATGTCGTATCGATATCATTTTTGTCATCACTGTTATGGCTGTATTTTTTATGCAATACTTTTGCCTATGTACTTTCTGATTATTAAGTTTGCCCTACTGTCGTATCTAGATCGAATCATGATTGTTAAAAACATAATATTTTTACTAACTTTCAACCTAACCCAAAACCTTATTATAACCCTAATCCCTGACAATAATAACCCCTAGCCCTTTGTTTGTCATGCTTATTTATTTACAATAATGAATCAATATCGACATCGCCTGTGGCCCTGTGTAATTATATTATACCTCAACTTTAAATTAAATTGTACAAATCAGGATCGATATCGATACGATATCGTCAATGTATTGTCGATATCGACGACATGGACATAGCACTTAGTCTTATATATGGTATTCAGTATTCCCAAGTTCATTTTACAAATCAGGATCAATATCGATACGACATTGACATAATATTATCGATATCGACATCGAATTCGTTCTTGGACATGTATGGAGATGGAAAGTCGGACTCGTGACCTTCCATATTGAAAGAGACTGAAAGCTGCATGATGAATATTTTCCTTTTTACCCATCCTAGCCTTAAATGTATCTTGTTGATCCAAATTAGGACATTCTGAAATCATTCGCAAAAAATACAGCTAAGTAAATGTTAACCGACTTTTATACGCGTGCGAGATATAATTATCCGATGCGAGTGACTCAATTTGGCGGATAGTTATTGTTGCTTACAGTAACTCGCTTTAACCTTAAACAAGAAAGTTTGATCGCGTATATTAATCGTCGTGTGCCAGTTTTCCATTGTCGATTCGCGAAAAGAAAATGTTGCATATAATATTTGTTTTACGTGCAGTATCCTTCCAAACATTGCTATTAACGTTTGGGACTTTAGAATACCTTTAAATTGGGATTAAACCGTGAGAAAATATGAAAGTATAATTTCTCAAATAAAGTACGCTGGATTTTTTTGTCCATAACCTGATCCATACCCATGTAGTTTGACCACTGTTTTGGTTCTTACACTACTACTCCACTCCTAGTGCAAAATGGTGAATACAAGTGAAAAGCAGTAATGTACCATGGAATCAAATTTAATGATCCCTGGATCTACATGTATGCATGTCTTGTGTATTTGGTGCCACTTTTGTCCATAAGCCAGACACTGGAGGAATCACGTTTCTATACTTTTTACCCGACTTGGAAATTTTAGATGGAAAGCGGGGGAGGGGGATATATTCTGAAATAAGAATAAAACTTAATATAACATACATGACTGCCACTGTCCTGGCTACAGAGGCGGCAACACGTGCCCTGTTGTCCATCGTCTTACTCATGGCAAAGTCGTTAATCCGGAGGTACCGGTAATGGTGCTGTACCGCAGAGTGAAAACTTCCCCGGTAGTTACCACGGGCGTTTGTGTGTTCTGTCAGTGATGGAAACTCTGAAAGTTTATGATACTAGTATTTTGGAGTGATGAACCTTCTTACTTTGGTAATTTTTTTAATGCGATAAAGACTCCTTCGAAAGTTCCTAATGGAGGTAGAAAAAGTCTGAAAACTGATGAATTCTTCTTCATTCTCCTTCGATACCAAATATTCTTGTTTACTATCTCTTCTTTTTTGTCAAATCATCGGTAGTGAAATACCGGTCACAGTATTAATTATAATTTCTAAGATTAGATTATATAATGTTGGAAATAAATGTAGATGTATAGATCAAATTTTATAGAAAAAAGCACTTCGTGTTATCAAGTTCGTTATCGCGCTTTATTCAGGCGAAAACTATACGTAATACTGTATCAGCTTCGTAGAACAGTGACTTACCTACTGGGATGTTGCTGGATATGTTACCTCTGTTCATCATTCTGTCTACAAGATCAGAAACCACAGCGCCAAGCTTCCAGTCCAATGACCCCGCATAGGGCAAGAAAACAATCAGAACAAACACGGATATTACTGGCATCCCTGATTAAAACAAAGTTACAAAGATTAATAATTGTAGAATGCAGCACACCAGCCGGCATCAAAGAATGTAAATAGAACTCGTAAATGTTCATATCTTGTGATAGGTCATCTACAAAATTACATTGTTATTTTTTCTATTATACATGCAAGTACTATGAAGTTGATCAGTCTCATGGGCACTGATTGTGCTCCTTTATTAGCCGACTTGTTTGTATATTCATGTGAAGCAAAATTTATTCAAAACTTCTTCATGAGAAGAATTGATGCAGTGGCTTCAAGTCAACATTTAAACATATCAACTACGTTTTATCAATTAACAATAGTTGCTTAACTTACTTTAATTTATATGCCGACTCGATATATCCTAATGAACTCGAAAATAATAAAAGACAAACAGAGTCTGCCACATGTGTTTCATTTTTGGATATGTTTTACTGACTATAGACAACAATGGCCAACGAATAACAAAATTTATGACAAACAGGATGACGTTAGCTTTTCCATCGTCGACTTCCCTTATTTATGTAGCAATATTCCAACATCACCTGTATATGGTGTTTATGCTTCCTAACTTATTCAATACTCAAGAGCTTGCTCAACTTTTAAACCATCAACTTTTAAACCAAGGCAAGTTCTGACGGATAAGTTGATGTTACAAAGAAATCAAGAACACCGTTTAAGGTCAACCTTTCGCAAATTCTATAGTCGTTTTAATTACATGTACCTTGTTTGTAAATACAACCTCTCGTTGGGTCTGACATGCTTGAAACCATTCTTTAGGTCATTGTTTTTTTACCTGATCAATGCATAAGCTAGGGCTCACGGCGGATGTAATCGAGATGCTTGCTCCTCTTAGGCACCTGATCCCACCTTTGCTGTTTCCAGAGGTCGATCGTGTTTTTTTTTTGGCCCTGTTCATGATTCTTTTCTCAACTGAATTTATGAGACTGATAACTTCGCTACCTTCACCTTTTACATGGTGGTGCAACTTAATTTAACCTGTTCAAACTAATTTTCTCTATTGTTTTTAAAAGAAAATTTAAAAAAAAAAAAAAATAGCGTTAAGGAAAAAATAATAACAAACAAAAACAGTGGCCGCTTGACGACATTTTTTTTTATCACTATCTTAATTAATTTTCCAATTTCTTAGCTCTACTTCCATCAATTTTCACTGACTTGGATAAAATAGATACTTATTTCTGCCGTTTTTTTTTTTTACTTTTCTTTGAAAATATGCATTTTTGAATGTTTATTTTGATTTCTTTGACTACATAAATTTTAATGTCACCGAGTTTTCAACATTTGGATCAATTACAATTAAGCAGTTTTTGACCTTACCGTATAATAATTTTTATTTAAATTTAAAAACCTAAACAAAATTCTTCTAAATGTTCCAAATTCAGATTTTCTTTACTTCTTGACACCCATGATAAAGGACAAACTACATGCTTAGATACACCAAATGTAGATTCTTTGTTTAAAACTCTTTGTTCTAAGTCTTTGATTTTCTTTGCTTTTGATTTTTAACATGAAAACTAATATTCAAACTGCATTATCTATTTGGTGTGAGCTAATGAACCATGTTCATGCGGCATGATAAAGACAAAGAAACTCTTTTTTGAATGGAAGTGGCCTTAAAATCTTTTGTTTAATAAATTTTTTTTTCTTGTGATAAAGTATTGATTTCAATTTATAAATTGAAAAAATAACTGTATAAATTAAAATTTCACTAACTTACCAAATCTTTGACTTAATTCTAAGTCCTCTCAGTATTTAACATGTAATTTCTTTCTTATTCTGAATTTATTTTCATTCTATTGTTTCCGGACATAAACTGACCCACCACAAAAGATTTTATTATCGACATCAATCAACCTCTGTCCAGTGTTTATTATTTCATCACCAAGATTTTTTTTTTCATTGTAGAAAAAGGAGCACACAAAACGTTAATAAAATCATTGATAAATCGGTTAAAGCGATAAATCAGGCAAAAAATATAAAGAAATACGTAATTTTTGTGTGATTGGTGACCTAAAGTTTACTGAACTCTAAAAATACCTGAAGAAATTTTTTTTTTATGAAATATTTTTTAGCATACCTTTATGTTTATCTTTGTAAATAATTTTATTAGTCAGATGCTTTGATATTGTTCTCATGTGAAACTGGTTCTCTATATAAAGAAAAAAAGGTAGGTGACATTATGAACTTGATTTACAAACACTTACAACGGGACATTTAACTGAGCCAGAAAATATATGAATTTTTGTTAGTACCTTATTAGTAATATGAAAATGTGAAACATGTTAGCATAAATAAGAATAAAATATTGCCTTTTAAAACGATAATAAATTCAAGTTGCTCTTAAAATAACAGATGCCAAATAAAAAGAAAAAGTCATTTTTTAACCCTTCTTTACACGTAAAGATAGCCATTTTTGACAATGGAATTCACTTGGAAAATTTTAGTTGAAAACGGTTGGTATACAATTAGTCATGCATGTTACTATAATACACCCCCATGCAGTGTACATTCAAATGTTCAAGTTTTAATCCTAAGGACTAGGATGGAGTCACAATACATGTCAAATGGAATAGGAATAACTAGGAAAAGATTTTTTTTTCAAAATCTTTTCCTCAAAACAGAAGGGATACTGTCATATTGATAAGAAAAACATTATACTAAATATAATGCAGTGAATATTCAACAATGTTCAATTCAATATGCTCGGGGATTGGGTTGGGGCATCAGTAGGGTGACGATATTCTATAGAGTAATTCTTTGAAGACTTTTGAAAAATTGTCATACTGATATACTCATCCTCATGTAGAGTACATTCAAGTCTGGTGAGTCTTGCCCCTGAGGTAAGGGTTGGGCCGTAATACGGGATCAAATTAAGACTGACATGCAAGTGAAAAGGGGAAGTTTTTAAAACTCTTCTAAAGCCGGGCCAGGGCTACTTGGGTGAGTTTGGAGGCCCATGGACTTTTTCTTTTGTTTATGAAGTTGTCTGGGGGCACAACCTTTATGGTGCAACGATATTGGTAATGATTTTGTTTTTATTAATCTCTCTCCCTCCCTCCGAGTGTGTGTGTGAGAGAGAGGGTGTGTGTGCGAGGGTGAGGTTGTGAGGGTGTGTGTGAGGGTGTGTGTGTGAGGGTGTGTGTGTGTGTGTGTCCAGATAATTCTTCATTGAACAGTATATGCTTTATACTTTGACATTATTTATACTGATACCTCTTCTGTATATGCTGATACATGTAATAATTATTTGATTTTCATTTTCTGATTCATTTTATAATATTTAAGTAAAATGATTAAAACCGAAACTTTCGAAAAGTAAGACAGTTCAGCTCCTTACAAAACGTGTGGAAAGCATATTGCATGTATTGTTGATATTCAGTGGCGTATATTCCTATCTACTAATGTGTAGGCTAGTGAGAAGTCACAGATTTAACCTGAGGTAGGCAAGGAGAATGCCCCCTTTCTCGATAGGGATTGGGGGTCGGGGGGGGGGGGGTCGGGATACTTTTCAAGATACTATCATACATGTACAATAAAAAAAAAAAATCAGCAAATAATAAAGTTCATGTATTAGCATAAAAAGTATCTGATAAAGACATAAGTATCTATAAAGAAATATCAGCGTAAAAATACAAAGTAACAGCATAAAAAGACAAAGTATCAGCATATAAAAACACAAAGTATCAACATATAAAAACAGAAAGTATCAACATATAAAGACAAAGTATCAACATATAAAGACAAAGTCTCAGCATATAAAGACAAAGTATCAACATATAAAAACACAAAGTATCAACATATAAAAACACAAAGTATCAACATATAAAGACAAAGTATCAACATATAAAGACAAAGTATCAACATATAAAAACACAAAGTATCAACATATAAAGACAAAGTATCAACATATAAAAACACAAAGTATCAACATATAAAGACAAAGTATCAACATATAAAGACAAAGTCTCAGCATATAAAGACAAAGTATCAGCATATAAAAACACAAAGTATCAACATATAAAGACAAAGTATCAACATATAAAAACACAAAGTATCAACATATAAAGACAAAGTATCAACATATAAAGACAAAGTCTCAGCATATAAAGACAAAGTATCAACATTTAAAAACACAAAATATCAACATATAAAGACACAAAGTATCAACATATAAAGACAAAGTATCAGCATATAAAAACACAAAATATCAACATATAAAGACAAAGTATCAGCATATAAAAACACAAAATATCAACATATAAAGACAAAGTATCAACATATAAAGACACAAAGTATCAACATATAAAAACACAAAATATCAACATATAAAGACAAAGTATCAACATATAAAAACACAAAGTATCAACATATAAAAACACAAAGTCTCAGCATATAAAGACAAAGTATCAGCATATAAAAACACAAAGTATCAACATATAAAGACAAAGTATCAACATATAAAAACACAAAATATCAACATATAAAGACAAAGTATCAACATATAAAAACACAAAGTATCAACATATAAAAACACAAAATATCAACATATAAAGACAAAGTATCAACATATAAAGACAAAGTATCAACATATAAAAACACAAAATATCAACATATAAAGACAAAGTATTAACATATAAAAACACAAAATATCAACATATAAAGACAAAGTATCAACATATAAAAACAGAAAGTATCAACATATAAAGACAAAGTATCAACATATAAAGACAAAGTATCAACATATAAAAACAAAGTATCAGCATATAAAAACACAAAATATCAACATATAAAGACAAAGTATCAACATATAAAAACAGAAAGTATCAACATATAAAGACAAAGTATCAACATATAAAGACATAGTATCAACATATAAAGACAAAGTATCAGCATATAAAAACACAAAATATCAACATATAAAGACAAAGTATCAACATATAAAAACACAAAATATCAACATATAAAGACAAAGTATCAACATATAAACACAAAGTATCAACATATAAAAACAGAAAGTATCAACATATAAAGACAAAGTCTCAGCATATAAAAACACAAAATATCAACATATAAAGACACAAAGTATCAACATATAAAAACACAAAATATCAACATATAAAGACAAAGTATCAACATATAAAGACAAAGTATCAGCATATAAAGACAAAGTATCAACATATAAAGACAAAGTATCAACATATAAAAACAAAGTATCAACATATAAAAACAAAGTATCACCATATAAAAACAGAAAGTATCAACATATAAAGACAAAGTATCAACATATAAAAACACAAAATATCAACATATAAAGACAAAGTATCACCATATAAAAACAGAAAATATCAACATATAAAGACAAAGTATCACCATATAAAAACAGAATGTATCAACACATAAAGACAAAGTCTCAGCATATAAAAACACAAAATATCAACATATAAAGACAAAGTATCAACATATAAAGACAAAGTATCAGCATATAAAGACAAAGTATCAGCATATAAAAACAGAAAGTATCAACATATAAAAACACAAAATATCAACATATAAAGACAAAGTATCAACATATAAAAACAGAAAGTATCAACATATAAAGACAAAGTATCAGCATATAAAAACACAAAATATCAACATATAAAGACAAAGTATCAGCATATAAAAACACAAAATATCAACATATAAAGACAAAGTCTCAGCATATAAAGACACAAAGTATCAACATATAAAGACAAAGTCT